ACCCTTTATTCCCTTTATTCGCTTTATTTTCGAGAAAGTTTGTTAATTCAAAGAATTGAGCAGGAGGTGTCAAGGTGAAGGTTCTTTGTCTTATCATGCTGGTAGGTTTGTAAGTAGTGTTCTTGCGGTGCCGACACTACTTGCGTGAAAATTTCATACTTGTGATGCCGACAGCTTGTACTGTCATATGGCCACGAAGCGCACATTTTTGAGTTTTGACCCCATTATTGCCATTTTTCACGAGCATGTGTTGTTGGCACCGCAGGTACCTATATATGAGACCGTCAACTCCACTAGCCTATCCAATTTTTTCCTTAACTTCAGTATAGACTTTACAAATGCTCCTCGTCGTCGCTTTACAAGTAGCTGGCAATATTTTCAGATTCAATTCAACAAAGAAGACCGCTTACTATTATTCACCGTATTCAGCAGTCATACACAGAAGAATTCCACCTGGGCATCATAAAATGCCAAGACCCACCTTTCGTTCACATCATGGACACGATCCATTTGTGGATCACGTGGTATTGTAGAATTGAATAAAGCTCTACATATCTCTTTCTCATCGTCAGTATCACCCCACAATGCTGACTGGTCTGCTGATGGAGAGTACGGTAATGGGCAAAAGCCTATTGGCTTTCTCACAAAAGAATTTGACCATATGGGCTACCCTCAATAATGATGAAAGAAAAGCAATCGATAAACTCAAACTCCCAGCCTCCTGCGTCTTGTTAGCATACGCTGCCTGATACCCGAGCGGTAATACGGTAGCGGGCAAGAGTTTAGAATTGGTTTTCTCTGCCAAAATTGAATACTATGAGCTTCCGCTTGAACAGTGCCCTCTGCCTAGCATTTCCCTCATTTTTTTCATCGTTCATGTCAAAACAAGTACAGCGTATTGATTGACGGATACAGAAGAAAATCGATAAATTGATTGTATCATACCTTTTGTGTATCTTTGAGGTAGACAAGTAGCAAACCATGATCGCAGCTTGCATTACCCAATTTCGCATCTGCATACTCTCGTTGCATATCAGTTTTTAGGTCATCTGTCTAAAAAAAGAAATATGAACTAGTTGGACGCTAATCTGGAACGTCAACTACACCTATTTCCACCTTATGGTGAAAATCTAAAGAACGAGCACTGGTCCCACACTAATGATTTGTTCGATAGTGTGACATGTAACAAAACTTTTCATGTTAAACCTCATTTGTCAATGTCCTTCCTTATTACACGAAACTACAACAATTTTTGTTGACGAGAACTGGTCCCAACTGGCTTCAATCTTTCCTTTCAAACCTCTAAACCCATCATTTGCTGAAACTTCTGGTGCCAGCAAAACGCATGATAGACACAACATTCAGTAGAAACTCTTGTCCCACTGAACTCTTAAAACTTTGGAAAGCGAGAACTGGTCCTCACTGCTTAACTCTCTCAAATCCTTCCATTTCTAAACTTACATTTTTGCTGCTAGTTACGTGAAGTAATCCGATGAACTCATCCCGTCCATTATCTCGGCGACATCCATCTACACATTCGCATCTGCAAAAATTTAATATCGAAAATATGTTTACTATAATAGATTCAAAGTCGAAAAATCTCCAGATCACAAGGATAACGCACGAAAACTGGTCCCCATCAGGGCTAGCTTTCTAACTACGTCTTTGGTAATTTGCACATAAATTGTACAACAAGTCGAGGCAATGATAAATCAGAAGATGGCGAGAACTGGTCCCCAACTTACCCTATTCGCGACTGCAACCTCCATAGCATGTCGGTTAGTTTGGACGTTGTCGTATTCGCCAACCGATGAGTTGGATCGCATACCAATGTGGAGTTGCCATAGTCGAAGTCATTATGGCACGTCTCGTATTCGTCCCAGTAGACCGATGCGAAGACCTGAAATGACTCGATAAGCTAGACGAATTCATTTGAAAAAACAGGGAAGGGCGGGGGGAGGGGGGTTCAAAAAAGGCCCAAGGATTCAAGATTTAGAAGAAGAGGAAAAAAGGATAAGAGGCATCGTGAACTTATACGTTATACAGCGCACATTTTGTGTGCCAATGTCAAAACAAGAACTGGTCCCCGGAGTTTTCTGCTACCAGGCTTCATGATGGCAGAGGGAAGAGTAAATTGAAAATTTTGAAAGCGTTTGATCTTGTCAATCGTTTAAAGAGAGTGCCAAAGTAGTGCTAGATTCAACGAGAACTGGTCCCCTCTTGACTTCGAGTGAATTTTTTTCTGCTCAAAGATGGAATCAAAAACACATTTGAAGATATTGTTTCATGACCTTATACAACAATGCACAAAGTAGCGGTAAATTCAGAACGAGAATGGTCTCTAGTAGTTCTTGAAATTTCGAAGTTTGCGCCAATAAAAGTAAGGTTCAAAAAATGTTGAAAAACCTGATTTTACAATGTACC